TGGAAATCATGCAGGCCATTTGAACTGCAAGAATGATATCCTAGACTTCAGACATTGCTGTCTTAAAATTCCTGAGAGAAAAGTAGAATAAAGAGAAAGGCAGAGAAACTAAAAGTAGGACGGCACATTATACAGGCAAAGTAATTAGATAGAGGCCTATTTGACTTTTTAAGTGTTCCATATATCTTTTAATGCAGAATGTACATTGATTTAATCTGGATGTAATCGCTGGGATAGAATGGTAACTGTGACACCATATAATGGAGACCCAGTAATTTATAGGACTGGCAGCATAACCCAAATTGGCTTATCAGTTGATTGGTGGCATCTAATTTTCTGGACTACAAGGAGCGAGGATTTATAAGTGACATTTTTGAGAAACCTGACCGAACATTAAGACTTTGACAAGCAAATTTAAAACACTGTATTCTAGACAAGTCTCACACACAGCCTTGGGAAAGTGGCTCAGTTCCCTAAAGCCCTGTTTGTATGAGGCCAGCTTTCTAGTCAGGAGCCCTGTCTCTGTATCCTGGCTGTTTTTCCCCTTAGCAGGCATGGAATTCTCTCTTCCTTTTCCCCAGGAAGAGGCTGTAGAGGATACAAGAGGTATACTTTCTTTCAGTTAGACCTCCCACAGTTTATGTCGGGTTGTAGCTCTAACACTCATTTTGAAATTGGCAGAAATGACACTGTTCTTTCCTGATGAAAGAAAGACACAGAGTAGAGGGTTTCTTTCCATGACCCCTTGGGTCCTCTCCCATGTTAAGACATTGCCTCATGGGGCATGTTGTCCTCTGAGTTTAAGAAGCACTGACCTCCTCACCTCACTCATGTTTAGAGGGTGGGTGGACCATTTGTATGATCATTTACACACTTCTGTAGGCAGACAGAAAATTGGAGCATCTGCTATTCTGCTATTTTTGGCTTCTTTTTTTGAAAATAATCAGAGGTGAAATGAACAAATGTGTGAATTAAGTTTGCTTATGTTTAATTATGTTTACTGAAGTAGCATTGGTTTACATTATATATGTCTAGGGGTGTAGGCTCATACCTTTACAAATGCATGTTGTCACGCTACTAGCCAAACCCCAACCCTCCGCCATAATCCATTGGTCCCACCCCTTTCCTCCCCCAACAGAAGATTATAAATTAGTGATACCTATGATTTCTAGAATTTACAAATAATCCACTAAGGGATTTTAAGAAGGTTTTTTTTTTTTTTTTTTTTAAGATTT